TTGGATGCTTGATCTGAAAATAAAGTTGTGATTATTATGAAGTTCTCGCATGAAGTTTTCTTGGCTGCCTCTAACAAATTCAGTTTTATTTGTTCATTTCTTCTTTTTTTTTTTTTTTAATTTGGCTGTCTGCTTTTTTCATGTTGTCTTGATCTGCAATGACTATCTGAGTATGTGCTTGAACCTGCTAAATATTTTAATTTTGCGTATTTGGCTGCTTTGAATTTTAAGTAATTTCTTTGGACAATGTAAATATAAGAGCTGGAGGCTATATAAGTAAAATATGAATTTACAGAAGTCTGTAATTTATAAGTGTATGTTCATTATCTACCATATAGATTTCACGTTTTGCCAAAATTAAATAAAATTGAAAATTCCTTTTTTTAGTTGTACTGGCCACATTTCAAGAACAATTTTCAGAACATATGTAGCTAAAAGTTACCATTTAGACAGAAGAGCGACCTTTATTTCAGAGTGTTCTATTGGACAGGGCCATTTTAAACTGTGTTGATAGTTAAGTGTAAACTCATATTCTAATAGTAGTTTAACAGTTTAATAAGTCCAGAAAATAAAACATGAAAAGTTTTGAAAAGTCTTCCTATAAATATGTAGTGACTTCCAGCTTGAATATTGCAAACTTAAGATTGTCTAAAACTGTACATTCGCATCAGTATCTATGCAACTTTAAAGTGAAGTTATTTCTTGCAGCAAAATTCATGAAGTAGGCAAAAGGCTAAAAACTTAGGTGCACCAAATTTGAATCCTGGTCCCATAACTTAGTAATTTAGTAATTTCTGGAAAGTTATTTAACTTCTTTGAGCCTCAGGTTTCTTATATGTAAAATGGAGGTAACAATAGTTACTTTATAGAATTAATCTAAGATAAGTATGTTTAAAACTGCATAAGAGAGTGAATATTTGTAAGTGCTGTAAGTATGGAATTAAACTACTTTTATAAATCAGTTCAGTGGTATTGTTTGCATGGAGTTGTTCCCAGCCTGGCAATCATAACAGGTGTTTAGAAATGGCTAGGTCAGATATACTTGATAGAAGTTCTTGGTCAGTGTGGGATTATTGGATGAAACTAAGTTTGAAACAAAGGGACCATCAGGATGGGGAGAAAAACAAATAGGGAGATAATTGACTTTGTTCTTGGGGAGGTCCGTAGAGTATTTTCTAATAAGAAAATTATTACATTGTGTCTTTTGTAACTTAAAAAGTTTCATATTGATTATTTAAAATGTTATTTCTATAATATAGTAATACTAAAGAGAAGAGTTAAATGACATTTCAGAAGTTGACTAACATTTTTTGAGGTTACATACCTAACAGGATGGAAATTCATATTAAGTTCACAGCTTTAATGCTCTTTCTGCTTCAGCATACTATTTCTTTAATAGCATTCTTGTCTCTGGTAGGCATATATTGCAGAATCTTTAGGGTCTCGCATATATAATTTTTTTTATTCCCTAAGCGATTCTGGTGCCAAACTTCTAATAAAAAATCATTACCCTCTTAGTCTTTAAACTTTTACTCTATCTGTATGTCTAAATTGATGCATAGTTAGTAAAAGAAGTAATGAGACTGAAAAGCAATGCACTGATTTTTTTTCCTGTTCCAGACGCTTAGATAGGTGATGAAAGAATGACATTTTGAAAAAGCAACACAAGTTTAGTTTCCTGTCTGCAATCTCACCTGACTGCACCGATTAGTACTTCTGGGGAACCCAGACTAGCCAACTCTGGTAGTTAAATCTGTTGATGTTCCTTTCTGTATATAAATTTTGGCTAGTTAGTAGCTGACCTAAAGTGTTGACTGCTAAATACCTCTGGGTACATATCCTGAATGTTTTTAATTGATTGTCTAAAGATTTTTAATAATCTTTTCCAAACTATTTTGAAGATATTTCCATTTCCTGGATTTAGTGGTATTTCCAGACCCTACTTAACTGTGAATATCATATTACTTATAACTTTTTTCACAGTTGTGAAACCTAGTCCCCTTGTGAAGACAAAACCTCTAAACTTTGAATGAAAGGTCAATGTCATAAGCACTGAGTGAGGGGAATACTATAGTAGACCCCTAGGAAGGCAGAAGTTAATTACATTGCACAGTGAATTTTCAAAACTGAAAATGTTTTTAAGTATGCACAGACTGATTCCATTGGAAATAAGACTTTAAATTTTGAAAATTAAGTATTTGCTGTTTGAGGCATCAGTGATGAAGTTTTATAGTAACAGTGAGTTGTCTTAGAGTTGCTTATCATAACACACTTGAGCAATCAGTGGCTGCAATATGAAAATGTCTAATTCTCTGAGCAGAGATAATGTTACTAGAAGCTGTGATAGTAGATATTGGGCTGCTTCATTTATATATACATGTACCTTTCTCAATAGAAAGTTGTATTTTCTATAATTCTGATTATTTTTTATTACTAAGGCTTAAGGGAGCTTATGATTAAATTAGCTTACTTTAATACAGTATTCTGAATTCAATAAAGATTCTTTCAAATTAGTTCCTGCAAAGCATCTGAGGGATAGTCCTTGCCCCCGTCAATTTTAAAATGGCATTATATAGTGTGTGTGTGTGTGTGTATATATATATATATATATATATATATATATATATATATATATATATAAATTTTCATTAATTATGTACAGATTGAAAATGTCTTTGTACAAATTTTCTTATAAGTAGAATAAAATTCATAATATTAAAATTAATAACATGTTTTTTAATTACATGTAAAATATTTTAATTAAATACTAAAATTATTCTGATCTTAAAAATTGACTTTAAAAATCTATTGCAATAAAGGAATTAGAACTGGTCATATGTCAACATAAAAATGTTGTAAGATAAATTATTTTCCTTTTTATTCAGAGTCTGTATGTTTTAGATTTCTATTTATTTCCATTGGGAATGTTGCTTTGGGCTTATGGCAAAAATGTTGCAGTACTGTTTCTTTATTTTTAAAAGCTAATCTCACTTTCTTAATTTATGGTGAATTGTTAATATTTTCCTAAAGGTAGAAAATGTAATGCCCTATTCTGTCAGTTGTAAGATAGCACTTCTTTGTTACACTTCTTTATCTCTTAAAATGAGATGCTTCTTAAAATTAGTGTTGTGGGGCTGGGGATTTGGCTCAAGTGATAGCGTGCTCACCTAGCATGCGTGAGGCACTGAGTTCAATTCTCAGCACCACATAAAAATAAAATAAAGATATTTTGTCCACCTAAAACTAAAAAATAAATAAATAAATAAAAATTAGTGTTGTTTTAATGAAGGCATTTTTTTCTTACTCCATTTATAAAACTAATGATATGTCTTATAATTATTGATGTCTTATGTAAGATAAAATGTTCTGATTGATATTTTTAAGCTCATTATAGAACTTATATTCACATAATTCTTCATTATAATGTTGATGATCTTTGTGGTTAAAAAAAATTGAAGTGATTGGGATATACCATATTATTTGGAATTAGAGACTACTACTAAAATTTATTAGTGTTTCTTCCTGTTTTTCTTCTTTTCACTGATGCCATCCTAGTTGGGTGCTTCACACTAGACTGGCTCCCTGTCTGAATTTTTCATTGAGAGATATTCAGGATACTAAGAGAAAAATGGCAATTGAGAAAAGGCTTTCAATTTGGATGGGGTGGGACTAGTGGGTGAGACTTCCAAGGTCAAGAATGTAGAAAGAAAACTTAAGGGAAGTGAAAATAAACCTCATTTTCAATTTATCCAGCTTTGCTTATCTAGAAATCTTTTCCAGCTTAAGTCTCTATAACATAGTAGCTTCTGAGCTCCCTGGTTATTAGCTAAAATCACTCCGGATATTCCCTAGGTTCAGCTAACTCTTCTCACCCAGGCTTTTCCTTTCCTTATTCTGTAGAAGTTGTCCTATGGGCTGCCCATCTTCCCCCACTGTCTAGCTGGTACCAAATAGAGTTGTGTTTTCTCCGAATATGCTTTCCCAAAATGAATCATTAAAGGGTAGCCACATGTTCTGAACATTTTTTTTCTTTATACTCTTCAGTAATAGCATGTTTTAGTTATTCTGCATTTAAGAGTCACAAAGGATATCTGACTAGCTCTATTTAAGGCAGGATCCTTTTAAAAATAAAATTTAACATTAAATGTAATTTAAAGTTTCATTATAAAATATGAGTTGAGAATCATTTTTTAAAGAACTTTTGCTTCATAATAAGGAGTTTACCTTTTAATAATTTTGAGTATGCTATGGACTTTAAAATACCTGCAGAGCCCTCTGGAAGCCAGTAACTGCTGTCTGGAGTTGGCTTGGCATTGTCATGGAAAATAGTTATGAAGAACTGCTGCATATAATATCTAAAATCTTCAAATTTCCAAAAGTCTCTTTCATAAAACCTTTGATCTTTGTGGTTAAAGAAAAAAAAAATTGAAGTGGTAGGGTTATACCATATTATTTGGAATTATAGGCCTCTACTAAATTTTTTTAGTGTTTCCTTTCTATTGTTTTCCTTCTGTCTGCCCCAGTCCCCTCCCACCAAGCAGCTTTGTAAAAATCTCATATTCAGGGTGATTTCCTTTTGTATTTTAAAAATTGTATTTTATTTTCATGTCTTTTCAATCATGTTACACTCTAAGCTTTTCTGAACTGTTCTTGGAAACCAAACTAATAGTGCTTAGTAGGAGAATGAAAATGGATTCCAGACAACTGACTTAATTGATTTTAGAGCAAAATCCTTTGCAAGTTTTAAGATTCTGTACTATTCTTGCTTATAGTAATGCATAAATAAAATGGAAACATGGGATAGTGATGTCAATGGAAATAAACATGGTTCACTTATTCATGAGTAGTATTCTTAGTATGGATGCTGAGTTTTGTGTAATTCTGATAAAAGATACTTCAAGTATGCTGAGATCACTACTGTATGTAAACTAGCATTCACATAAATCTTTTTTCAACTTGCTAACTAATTTTATTGTCCTGAATTCCTTTTTACCCCACAGAGGATGTACTGAGTAAAGATGCTGGGGAATGTGCAATATGTCTTGAAGAATTGCAGCAGGGAGATACTATAGCACGACTGCCTTGCCTATGCATATATCATAAAAGGTAAGTTTATTTTTCTACTAACCAAGTTGATATTGGAGCAAAAGATGGCTATCATAGTTTCAAACATTGTGATTAGGTCAGAAAGGTTGTTTTCATCATTGAAACCCCTCCCCTCAACTTTTTTAAAATGTAAGGGCCTTTTTTCTCTTGCTATCTAAGACTTGAACTCCACATCTTTTGTATTCAAAAGGCTATTCTTTTTGGTAAGCATTTACCATGACCCAGTTATTGTCCATAGCTTCTTAAATAGGTATCTTGTGTAAGCCTTGTAACTATCTCACTTTACAATAGAGAAAATAAACTAAGGTATCAGGGAATATTTTCAGGGTTGCATTGCTACTAAATGGTAGAGATAAAATCCTAGCCGGATTTGACATTTGCTTAACTTCAGAGCCTGTCTGGTTTTTTACACAGTCCTTTTGCTTTCAGAACTGTATTTTAGGTTAAACAAACAAACAAATTACAACTATTTAAGGTGACTATAAAAACAATTTAAAACTGTAGGGTTCAAAGTAAGGTAGCATTTTTACTTAAAGTGCAGCTAGGGAAAGTGTAAAGAAAACAGTGTAAATAATGCAAAATAAGGAGGTAAAAATATATCAACAATTAAAACAAATCTATAAAGAACAAGCTCACCAGCTGAAAATATAGTTTGAAAGGTTGAGACATATTATTGATTAACAAATCACTTAAACATAAGGATATAGATGAATATGAGAGTATAAGGATAGAAAACTATATCCAGGCAAATAATAAATAAAACAAAGCTAAACTAATGTCACACAAAGATAACTTTATATCAGAAAGCATTACTAGAAATAGTCACTAAATAATGATACAAAATATGTAAAACTTTTATTTTTTAAAAACATACCCTCAAAATATTTACAAGCTATCAGAAGAAATAGACAAATATACCAAAATAATAGGAAATTTCAACACAGTTATCATCAAGTGGGTACACAAAAAAGAAAGTCAAAATCTAGAAGAATTGAGAACTGCAGTTTACCAAGTTTAAACTAATGAGTGTATCTGTATTTCACAATTAGAGAATGCATTTTCTTTTCAAGCACACATGAAGTGTGGTTGAGTGCCCCTGAGTTGAATCCCCAGTACCAAAAAAGTAATAATACATATCTAAAATAATGCTTCATGACCAATGGGATTTATGCTACTAATGAAAACATAAGATTAGAAAATTTATATATGTCATTGACTACATCAATGAAGGAGAAAGACCCCCAACTCAATAAATGTGAGAAAGCTTTTATAAAGTTTTGTGCTTATGTATTAATGATTTTAAAACAAAGCTAAGAATACATATTAGATAAATTATTAAAATCACTGAGTTCATCAGGGTTCCCAGATAGGAAATCAACGTGGAAATTGGTTGTATTCATATCCCAATAAAAAAAAAAAAAAATGTAACTTTCCTTTAAATAATAACATTAAAGCACCAGAAACTACAAGGGCTATGAGGTATATATTCAGAATAAATTCTACAAAAGATGCAACACTTTGCTTTAGACAAAAATTTAAAACTTTATAGAAAGATAGAGGGTATCCATCATATCATATCATGTATAGGAAAACTCAGTGTCAGAAAGATGTTATTTTATCCTAAACCTCTATATAGTTAATACTAGTCCAATCAAACCTCACCTAGTTTTGTTTTTTTTTAGTGTAATCAAGAGCCAAGGGCAGGAACAGTGAAGATACTCATGAAAAATACCATGTTAGAGGATTTGTCCTATACACATTTATTGCAAGACTATATTAAGATAGTATGGAAATGACGCAGGTAAACTATTGGGACAAAACAGAGTTCATAAATACTCATATGCCTGTATGGACAAAGAGCGTAGCATGAGAGTTAAGAACATCAATTCTGAAGTCAGGACTCTCACTCCTCCACTAATTCCCTGTGTGTTCTTAGTCACATTATTCAGTTTTTCTCTCTGAATTTGTAAGATGAGGACAATAATATCAACTTAATATAGTTACAAGGGTTTAAATGAGTTCAATTTTGGGAAGTGCTGGCACTGATAGATGCTATATAAAGTTTGTTGAATAAATGAAAAAATCGATTTGCCAGAGATAATATTACTGTGTCATAGAGAAAGAATAAACTGTTCATTAGATGGTGCTTTGATTGATTATTTATTAATATGAACAGTTGAATTCCTGTTTTATGTTTGAAATACAAGTCAATTCCAGACTGTGAAAATCAAAATCTGAAGTCTTGGGGAAAGAATATGGGAAAATGTTTTTGACTTCTTGGTAAAAAATTATTTTTCCGGGGCTGGGGATGTGGCTCAAGCGGTAGCGCGCTCGTCTGGCATGCGTATGGCCCGGGGTTCGATCCTCAGCACCACATACCAACAAAGATGTTGTGTCCGCCGAAAACTAAAAAATAAATATTAAAAAATTTAAAAAAAAATTATTTTTCCTAAGATAATACTATTCCTGGAGTGGGGTGGGGGCACAAAACTTAAGATTGATAAATTTGATTATGTTGAAATCAAAAACTTACTTGCGACATGATACTGTGCAAACACAAACTAATCTAGGAGTGTGACTTTCAACACAACAACAGAGGTTTTAAATGTGAAATAATACTCTTGTCACTTTTCGTAATGTGGTTAACTCATTGCACTTGTTTTAGTGGAAGGGCGATAATAATATAATGACATCTTTTATTGGGTTATATATGATATTTCCTAGCACATAAAATTTTGCTGCATTGAATAACAGCAAATAAAAACATATGCTAACACAACAAGCCATAAAAGAATACCCATCTCCCCATGTTCTTATTCTTAGTTCAAGTTAGCCTATGGGATTTAGCAGTACTTATTCACAGTTTTGTCTTTGTAACTCATCACATCCTTCCTTAATCCTCTTTGACTGATGCCAACTTCACCGTTGTTTTTAAAACATTCTATATTTACAATTGTGTTTTATTTATTAGATATGAATGTCTTTGTTCTGGTTGCAAAGTTGTATTGAGTGATCTACCCTTAATTTGTTTTTTTTCCCCACATAATCTCTGTTACTTCTAGTGTGTGATTTTGTAGAAAGCAAGTTTTATCAAAAACATGTATATTATATTGTAGAATAATAGCTTTCTAAACATCTATAAGAAAAAGATAAATCAAAGTAGAAAAATTGTTAATGATTCAGAAAAAAGGAACCTCAAATAGTGAACAAATAAACAAATGTAAATTCATCTATTTAGTGGACACTCCTTCCTTTTCAGAAGTATTGATAGAACAGAGGGCTTTTATAACAAGTGGTTGAGAGCCTCAGCAACTTAGTGTGCGCGGTACTTTTACTACAACTCAGTAATTCCACCTACAGATGTATGCCTTAGAAAATTTTTTGATCTTTTGCTCCAGACAACACAAAGTACAGGACCAGGGAGAGATTAGGACCTCATGCCAGAATATAATTAAAAAAAAAATAAAAAATACAGTTTAGCTGGGGTTGTGGCTCAGCGGTAGAGCGCTCGCCTCGAACATGGGAGTTTCTGGGTTTGATCCTCAGCACCACATTCACATAAATAAAAAAAAAATAAGGATGCTGTGTTCAACTACAGCTAAAAAAATAAATAAATAAAAATATTTAAAAAAAAATACAGTTCAAACTGAGTAGTGACAAAATTAATTTATATTCTGTTGCAAGTTCCTTTCAGAGTATGTTTGTAAATCATTGGAAATGTCTGTAAGTAATGGAAGAGAATAGACACAAAAATTTTGGTATATTTATATAACAGAATACTATACAATGGGAATTTTAAAAAGTGAACCTTATTAACAATCACAAATTTTAAACAAATTGAGAGGAAAAAAGCATTAATTAAAAAAAAAAAAAAAAACACGTAGAAATGGGTACAGTAGCATGTGCCTGTAATTCCAGCAGCTCAGGAAGCTGAGGCAGGAGGATGGCAAGTTCAAAGCCAGCCTCAGCAACTTAGTTAGGCCCTAAGAACTTAAACTCTTGTCTCAAAATAAAAAATAAAATGAGCCGCAGCTCAGTAGTTAAGCACCCCTGGGTTCAATTCTTGGTACAAACAAAGTTAGAATAAGCATAATATGTTGTTTTAAATATATATATATAATATATATATATATATATATATATATTTTCTTACTCTATAACTATATACACACGTATATATTTATAGAGTAAGAAAATAGCTAAGAATGAAAAGCTGGGGATAGGAAAGGGAATATAGTATTTTAAATAATCAGTGAAGAATATTTATTTAAGAATGGAGAATATGTGGATTGATAGCATTTTATATGAAAAACACCTGGGATTTTAATGATGACTTTCAAATTATGAGCCAGTATTACGTGGCTATAAAAAGTAAATAATAGTACTCAGTTTAGGTCACATAGCTATTATTCAGAGGTACTATTGTTAATGTATCTGGAGTATTTTGTTCAGGTCTCACTCCTTCCTTTTCAGAAGTATTGGTAGAACAGAGGGCTTTTATAACAAGTGGTTGAGAGCTGGCTGAAAACAATGTTATAAGCCAAATCTGTTATGAATTTAGAGAACAAAAATCTTAATGGCAACAGAAATTGTTTTAAATATTTGAAACATGGATGGGGCCCTTCACTTTTCTTTGTTGTTTTTGAGGTGGGTTTTTTTTTTTTTTTTAAGTTGCCCAGGAACTTCTGGATTCAAATGATTTTCCCTCCTCAACCTCCCAAATAGCTGGAATTGCAGGCATGTACCACCATGCCTGGCTTCTTTTACCGGTTTTTATCATTTTTATGTACTAAACCAACCTGTTATGATATGATATGAAAAGGATAAATACAAATTTTGCCCTTCAACATATTAGGTTAAGCTAACCTTGTGGCGTAAGGCAAATTTGACACATGTCACCAAGGAGAATGTTGAACAGTTTGAATCCTGCTTGGAGAATTTAATGCCTGTTGGGAAAGTTACTTAACCTTCCAGGACCTTGATTTTATCATCTGTTGTAGTACCATGAATTGGAACTTCATACAGTGATGTAAAGTTCTGAATCTGTGCCGTTTGATAGAGTAGCCGTTAGCCAGCCATATCATTGTTGCACACTTGAAATGTGACTAAGGATTTTTTCTTAATAAATTTAAATTTACTCCTTATGGCTATACTGGAGAGTATAGATCTACATTGAGGATAATTACATGCACCCTAAAATTTAACTTCTAATAAAAAACAAGATTGTGAAATACTCTAAATTCAAATGGATGCCAGTATATTTATTTGTGTATGTATATGCATTACAGAGCAGGATAGAATTAAAATAAATGTTCAGTAATCATATAAGTGTGATCTTAAAAATGATGTTGTCAAGAATCAAAATTTGATAAATGACATGAAAAGGTTGATATGTGCATAACTATTTTGAAAAGAAATATTTTTATAAATTGGTCCTTTAATTTTGAATAAAATAGTAGTTCTTGAGATTGTCTTTAGGAAATAGTTCTGTTTAAATTTTCAAGTGTTTCACGGTGTAATTTTGGAAAGGTTTTTCTCCCTTAGTGGCATAGAATAGCTCCCCCTGACACCCAGGTTAGAGGGGCTTCCCCCTAAACATGTGCTTGCTGTGAATAGTAATGTACTCCTGTAATCCCAGCAAATTGGAAGGCCGAGGCAGATGGATCACAAGTTTAAGGCCAGCCTGAGTAAGTTAGCAAGACCCTGTCTAAAAATAAAATAAAAATGACTGGGGATATAGCTTAGTGGTAGAGTGCCCCTGTACCTCAAAAAATAATAATAATAAAATAAAATACCCAGTATCTCACAAAGATTAGAAAAAAAATAAATGTATGCTTGTGTTTTATTTGAATATACCAAATATGGTCTTTAAATTTTTTTCTTCCAAACATATGTTAAAGTCAAGAAAGTAAACATTTTTATTATGGTTGACAGTTATTAGACGTATCTTTAAATTAATTTCTGGTTTGTTCTTTTCTAGCTGCATAGATGAATGGTTTGAAGTAAATAGATCTTGTCCTGAGCACCCTTCAGATTAAGCATCAGATTCCTGTTTTATAGGTAATTCTCCATTTGTTGTTTTACTTTTTAAAAAGCTGTCTTGAATTACACATTTTCAGTCATCATTTTTATTCATCCTTATTCATTGTGATGCACATGCATGAGCCTGTGTGTATATGTATGTTTTAGATATTTTGTTAGACTGTTGTGTAGAAAACTCAGTTTAAAAAATGTATTTAAAGTGTCAGAGGTGTCGCTTAGTGGTAAAGTGCAGTGTTTAGTATACCTGCCTCTGGGTTAAATCCCCAACACCAAACAAATGAACCCAAAATAACAACAACAAAAAAATGTTAAAAAGAACTTTTTTCATTCCTAAATAGACCAGATGTTGAGTAACTGCTACATTCTCTTAAACCACATTTGTTTATTTATAGTTTAGTATTGGGGAAAAAAATAAAACAACCACCACTACCCATGAAGTACATATTATAACCCAGTTTTCCCAGCAAGAAACCTGAGGTTCATAGTATTCTAAGTTCCATGATGTCATAAAGCAAATTGTAAAAGAAAAAAAGGGGGCGGGGGGGAAATGGAAGCAATTTCTAGGGACTGGGGATGTGCTCAGTGGTAGAGAGGAGTGTTTGAATCCAGTGCACCATGCATGCTAGGCAGTCCCCAGCAGCACAACAACAACAACAAAAAATAGCAAGTTGTACCAAGCTCTTAAGTTGCATATGTTAAATATGTGCCATTTTTGTATGCTGTTTATTCCTCAATAAAGTGGTTTAAAGAACAAAAAAGAAAAGTTTCATCAGAAGTTACAGATCAATTAAAAGTTAGTTAGCAAATTAATCAGATCTCACACTCTTGAGCATAACCTCAGATGTGTTCTTAACTAATGTAACTTAAGTCTAATCACTTAGAATTGTTATGTACCAGAAAAATGTTCCAAATACTTTATATCCATTTCTTATTTAGTTATTACATTGACTCTTTGAGCTAATATTTTATTACATTGACTCTTTGAACTAATACTTTTAGACAGATGAGGAAATTAAGTAGAGAAAATTTAAAAAACTAGTCTTGTCAAGGTCACATAGCTGGTTTATTAGTGGAGTTGGAATTTGAACTGAATAGAATTCTGGCTCTAAAGACTATGTTCTTAGAAATTTTATTATAAATAAGTATAAGCATTTTCTTCAGAAAGTTACATCATGAATTTATTCAGTCAATTTAATCATTCATCTTTATATTCTTAGCATGTTGTAGTAGTAGGCTGTATGTATATGTGTGTGTGTGATTTTGAAGCCAAATGATTAGTTTTGCTCTGATGATTTAGCTTTTGTTCTGCATTACCTGAAAATGTTTAGTGAATTGAAGGATAATTTTACCAGGTATTGCTTTTCTTCATAATCCATGAAGTAAATTAAATGGCATGATTTAGTTTTGGAAAAATACAAGTTGACTTAATTGCTATCTTCAAGTATATGACAAGCTTTTAGGAAAGGACTGTTTTATGATGCAACACATTGGATTTTTATGTCAAAGCAGGACATTTTAGCTCATCTTGGAATTATTTCAGGAGTTAGAGTCTGAGACTCATAGTTTTGCTAAATGAGTAGTGTTACTGATGACAAGTGATATCCTGAGGTCTTGTCCTGTACTGTTCTACCATTTCCTACTCTTAAATTTAAAAATATAAGTGTTGTGGTTATAAACACTCAAGGAATTCTGTTGCTGTATTGATAAGGTTTATTTTAGGGTAGCAGATTAGAATGTTGATATAAGAGATTTGAGGTAATTTAATAGCAGTCCTAATAACTGAAATGAGAACTGCATTGAGAGATCTTTTTCATAACAGTAAGGCTATGCATGTGAAATGTGAAAACCTTTTGTGGTAGAGTAGTTAAAGACTATCAATTGATGAACCTTTTACTGTGAACTTAGATCATGCCTTGACACATTGAAAATATGAACTGGGATATTTGCTAGTTAGAAAAGTATTGTGATAGAGTGGTATTTGGGGTACATGTTCATGTATGTTTTTAATCACTATGAAAAAAGGTTTTTGAAGGGAATACTTTGGAATGCTATTAGTGTTGTCTGATGATTAGGCCCATAAATTAAAATTATGGCTAAAATTTTAGAAGCATGTCTAGAACTAAGTACTAAAACCCAATGATAATAAAATGAAATTTTTATCTTAGTATTTTACAAGCCAAATTAATATATCTAAATCTTTCACCTACAGATAAGATTCTTCCTTTTAATTATCTTTGTGAATTCACACTGCTATAGCAAAAGACCTCATACAGTTAATTTATGAATAAGAAATTTATTATTTATAGTCCTAGAGACTGGAAACTACAACATCAGGTACCACCAGATTCCAGGTCTGGTGAGAGCTTGTTCATCATTTGTGGCACCTTCTGTTTATTCTTAGATAGCAGAAGGAATGTAGCCTCCTGAACAAAGCCCTCATGACCAATCACCTCCTAATATTATTGCACTGGAGATTGGATTTCAACATGGAAATTTGGAGGAGATACAAACATTCAGTCCCATGGTGGCGTCAATAGTTTTTTTCTATGAGGTGGAATTTTTAAATTAAAAACTTTTTCTTTAGTGTCACAGTGAGCTTATGTGACACATGGAACACACATCTTCATTCAACAGACAGAGATATGTCAGTTTTAAGCAGGATTTCTGGTTTTTTACATATTAATGTTATCTTTGTGGGATTTTAAAAATATAGAATTGTAAGTTTTGAAACTAACTTACTATGTGGGGCACGTTGAACTGTGTAGTTGGTTCCCTACAGAAATTTGTACCAGTGAGGTCAGTCTTCTAAAGGCCTTGAAGAATCATTTTTAAGAATTTATATATATATATATATATATAAAATATAATCTATCTTAACTCACATTTTTGTTTCTTTCCTGACTGTTCTTATTTGTCAAGTGATAAATTCTTTGTTCCTTTATCTAGCCTACAGGCAAAGTATATGGGTTTGAAGAGGATTTGGTGTTATTAAAATGCTAAAATCAGAAAGGTCCGACATTTTTTATAACTAAGAATTCAGTTATCAACCCAAAATAGAGATACATGAATATCTCAGGTCTTGATTAGGAAATTGTTTGCTATTTTTATATTGAGATTTTTAGTTACATGGGGGAAGTTTTAAAAATTAAGTTTGTGTATTTGTGTGTATTCTTTATGCTCATGTAGTTTTTATTGTGGAAGAGGAATAGCTGTTAGGTACTGGCAAATTTTTGTAACTATGTTAAACTTTATAACTGGTCCTTCTGTGTCTTGATTTCTTCTGCAGAACATTAGTTTTACAAGTTTTTGGAATAGTAAATAGGATATGAAAATTTATAATTACTAAAACCATGTTCATGAGGAAATGGATATCATGTATTGATTTGTATTACTATGATGAACCACAGCTTAAACTAAATTTATCTATTTTACATAGGTTTTCTTGTCTTTTCAGGATGCTTGAAAAATCTAGAGGATTTGAGGATCTGTCTCTGGAAAAACAAAAATGCAGGCTTACTCAGCCAGAAATCTGAGTTCTGTGAGACTTGGTAATACAGAGATGGACAATCACACAAGAAAAAAGAAAAAACATCCTGCTGAAGAGAGGACAGTAACCACAGAACTCAGTGTACCAAACTTGCATATAAGGGACACACAGGGATTTTGAAAATGCTGCACATCCCTTAATAGTCATCTACATAGGTAATACTGATGAACATTTTGTATTCAGACGCCAAAGTTAACTGATTTAAAAGTTGATTTACTTTTTATTCAGTTCTCTAGAGCTGCGCAACTAGCTGTGTTTTGATTTGTTTTGTTTTGTTTCTTTAATTTGGGGTCTCTTTTATTTCCCCCAACATAATGTTTTTGCATTCACTTATTCTTAAATTGAAAAACCATATAAGTTACTTCTCATAAAGTCTTAAATGTGAAACCAAGAAATGTAATCAAGCAGTAAAACATTCTCTGAATGTAGACCATGATCTCAAGTTCTTCCATTTTTTCCCCCAAGTGTGGAAAACTAATTTCTACATAGGAAAACTAAAATATGTTTGTTTTTAAATTAAAGGTTTAAATATTATCAGAATGCTGCCCAAAGAATAAATCAAGTTACATAATTACATTTAAATTAAATAAATGTAGAAATTGTCTACTGAATTGTAGTTTATAAAATATATTGTTTCCTCTTAAATAAAACTGCTCAACATTTAATCAGCAATCATCTTGCAGCTATGCAACTTTTAAAATAATATAAATTATTCATTTTAAGTGCTGCCAGCTATAATAACTTTTGTTTTAACGGGTATTTTTTTTTCTTTTTTCATGTGATTATTTTATTGTACTTTGCATCTCCAGGCAGTTTTCCCACATTTGGGTAAAATGTGTAGCAGAGCATAAGCTTAAAATTTATGAAAAAGGGTAAAACAGAAATTTCTGAAGTGGAAGTTGGAATAATTTGAGGGGTATTTTATATACCTTTAAACATCAGGATTTAAAATTGGGATGTCAGGTTTATAGCAATTCACACCTTTAATTTTCCAGATAATCTGGAAGTTAACATTTGATAAATGATTTTTTAAAGCAAATACAAAGATTTTGTTAATTTATAATTTATTAATGTGTTATTACTCTTATTGAAAATGTTAAGAGACTTTTAAATTGCGCCTTGTGTAGAAAAAATAATGTATTAAGCAAAATTATGTGAATAAATATTCCCCCCAAATATATCTGAATGGTTAAAAATACTGGAAGAGAGCTATCAGGGCTACAATAGTGAATGTCTTTTTAAAAAAATATATATCAACAATAAGTAGATTTTGCATTTTCAACATAGGGAAAATGTTATCAGTAAATATTTAGGCAGTGCACTTTACTTAGTTTAATTGAGAGTTGCACAATACTGTTTCCTTATTTTAAGCTCTCTTTAATGTATTTAAGTATTTGCTTTTTAATTTAACTCTGCTGCTCTTATTTTCCTTTAGTTTGTTTCCCTACTCTATTGCTTCTGTTTCATACTTTCTAAAAGGGCAAGTACAGGAGCAACTGCTGCTACCCAGAAAAATTTGTGTATTATGAATAATTAAAATAATTTTTAATTGCTTTCTGTATGATTTCAAACTAGATAACATTTTCCCTCAAGTTATGCTGTGAAAAATGCCATTTGTTATGCTGCAATTGCTGCAAAGAATCCAAAACCTCCATTGTGTCAGCCAACAGCACAGTTTCATAGGTGCTTTTTTTTAGTAGTTGTAGAAAATTATTTTCCCTCAAGGGAAACATTCTTAAATTTTTTTCATAAAATCTTAGTTTGAATTTATTTCACATTTTCAATTGTGTAAGCTTTTGCACCCTCCCCTCATGTACTCCCCCAAGGAAAGCCTCTTAGACTGTGAATAATTAATTTGTTTTCTACTACTGGTATATTGTGATAAGAATTACTTTGTTGTCTTCCATTCTTAAGAGATTTATTATAGCTGTGGTAATTAATTGTTTATATTCTGGCAGTTGATTTTCTGATATAGCTTACTTGTAAACTTTACTTTTTGAACTGTACCGGCTTAAGTTCACTTTTCCTTGTTTACCTTGTCCCATATTCTCAGTCTTAATAATTTAGCCTATGTCTATCATAAGGCTGTGTGCTGCAGCTGCTACAATTGAAGCTCCTGGGATTTTAAAGAAAGTTTAGTGTTTGTCACTGTCGATGCTACTTGATTATTAATGTTTATATATAGAAATTTTTACTGAAATCTGTTTAAAACAACCCCTTTTTGTTAACATTTACAAAGTAGTTATTTTTTATTTTAAATTCAATCTCTAATGACTTCTTAGAATGAAGAATTTAGGGAAAAGGAGGCGGGGGGAGGGGTAAGCTCAAATGCTCCAGTTTTTATTCAAAATCAAAGTTATTATTCTGGAAAATACTATAAGTGTTAGTCTATAATGTCTCTTATAATATTTGCAGTCTGTATGCAAACACTGAATAGTATAAGTGGGACATAAAATTATGTTGGATATTTAAATATTCAGCTGAAACTACTGAACACTAAATATTATGGAAATTAAAAGCCTGGATTATCAAGTTGGTTTATAGCTTTCTAGAAGAATCTTTGTAAGTACTCATCTTCAAATAAGGTTACATGTGCATATATAGAAAGCAATATGTTTTTAAATTTCACTTTAGTGCCACTTTTTGTCCATAATGGATTTATTGCCAATTTGACATACTACTTTGATCCATCTTTTTTTTTTCTGTTTGCCAGAATGTTTAAAACAGAAAAATTGTTTTGTCTGACTCTTTACCAGAGAAATAGTAGACTAACTATAGTCTTCATATGTTTTGCAGATTTAGTTACAAATCATATTATATATTGTTTTAAGAGCCATGTTTAAGATTGAAATATAAACAATTGTTTCTATAACTGATTTTTGGTGATAAAAGAAACATTGAAAAGTCATGTTGTTAACTGCTGCATAATATATAGGTTTTGGTTTCTTAAGTGCAAATCTTATATTTCTTTTAAATGTTGTATGATTATTTCAGTTTTTACCCACTAGAATGTAGCCCCAAAATGATGAGGACCACCTTAGCATATCTGCAGTATATATTAGATTTCATTTTCAATGAGTTAATGAAAATGGAAGAATTCTTTTCAAAGCTTATTTGACTCATGGCTGTGTTTCTAAGTAAGGGTATGGTGAAGTTTAAGGGCAATCATTTACATATTATAGCAAGACATAGGGTTATTCCTTTAAGTGAAAAATACTGTAAATTCAATGTAAATACTATCTACTTTTATGTACTGACTTGGAGAGTGGAAGATGGGAATTTTCTCAACAGTAAGCTACATTTGAACAAAGCATGAAACTTTTTTAAAATTCAAGAATAGTTGGATTTATCACCTAATTTATACCCACACTATGCATTGGTAATAATATCCAAATTATCTTATTCTTTCACAGAGGAAGTTTCCATTTAAATCAGAGTGTTGGAAACTGTGTAAAACTACTTAGAGGTAAATGGTGCTTATTAAATATGAGTACAATTTGTTAGTTGCTAGAAGTCTTCTAGTTCATTTGGGCCATTTTCTTGCAATTTTGATTTATACTGAAGTAAACTCAGTATATAGTAATAATGAGTAATTAAACATGAAGTGTCATTTGTTCACTGTACCTTGTTATTATACAGATATTTTCTTAGTTTAAAACAAAAACAAAAAAACTAGCATGTCTGTGCTTTGTTTTTGGCCCATCCTCCTATTTTTCCTAAGGTACGTAACTTCCGATATATATATTTTTTGCAATGTTGTAAATAACAGTGATTATATTATTCATTTTACTATCTACTGTCTTTCCTTCTTTACCCAGATCTTTTCATTGTAAAACTGAGTTGCCACTTGGTTTTCTTCAAAGGAAAGTGCTACTTGGTATACTACAAGTAGTGATTCATATTCAGGACAGCTGGTAAAACATTTTTGGTAATAACTTCCCAAACAGTACTTGAGTACCATATTCTGTGAATGCTGTGCTTAAGCTAGGAAACAGAATGTTTTTTCAATCACCCAATTCCTGTATTAAATGGGAAATACCTGAACTCCTAAGTTAACTGTGGACAGTAAAAGGCTTTGACAAAACCAGGTGTATTTAATTATTTAGTTTTAGCTGAAAATGCAATGTTACTGTACTTAGAGGAATTGTTTGATTTTCAGTTATTTAAGCCATTATTAATTTTAGACCAATGGCTAATAATGAGATAGATTTTTGTTCATAGAGAGAGAATAGCATGACATGAACTAACATTTCAGAAATAAATGGAAACATTTTAAGTGATACTATAGTAACTTTTAACCACACTATGTTTCTTAGCTCTGCCCTAGACAGTGAGGTGTACCTGTCACGGACACTGCCTCTTGGCATCAGAAGTGACTGAGTTCTTCTGTAATTAAATGTTCATGCTTTCCTTTTCTGATTTGGTATGTTGAAATTGGTGAGCACTGATCATTTGTTTGATAAACTTACAGTGCTGCCTTGTATCCTGTTATCAGTAATCTTGGTTTCAGTATTTTGAAAATGTTTCATTATTATTCGATTTTGAGTATTTGGGTGCATATAATAGAGTTAGCATACTCTAGAGGGAGATACAAAAAGTACATTGGAATTTGATGATGATACTGATTATCACTTCATTACATTTCTTTCCAGTGACTCTTTATGTGAGTTTCATTGTTTGAAAATCATGGTAATGATAGGAATTTATTTACCTCTGTTGTTTTATTGCTTTATCCATGGTTTCCACAACTCTTTTGTAATACCTCTTAATTTCCTCTATTTGAAAGTATTTTTCTGTTAAATAAGTTACAAAAAGTACCAGTCACAACAAATAGAGAAAATGTATTAGGAACAACTTGTATTAGTGTGTTCTAAACTAAAATGGAACAATTCATTATTGATATTTTAATAAATAAACTTCCAAATGATCTTGCTAAATTATCCCATTATTTAGAAGTGAAGAAAATAATGCTTTTAAGGAAAATCGTCATATTTCCTTTGTCCATAAGTTGACAGTATATTATAATAAAACTGAGAAATATCTGAATGCTGAAAAGTTACCATTGATGTTATTGCTTCTTTAATTTTGTATATCCATTACCACAAAATTGACTCCAAAATTACTACTTAAAATTCTGTAACAGCTTAAGAAATTATTGTAGTGGCAATGGACAAAGAGATTTTTCTTCATTATTTAAGTGAAGATATACTTTGAAATTTCTAATGTAAACCTACCTGTAAATTATAATTGAAATATGATTGGAGAGCTGTCAAGTTTTGAGGAGGGATGCTCTGCTAGTATAGTATACAGTCATAACTTTTAAAAGTTGTAGTTAGTAGCATTCTGCTGTGTTTTAGAAGAGTAATAAATCTTTGGAAGCATAGTTTTCATGATATCAGAGGTACTGAATTTTGTGGCATAGTAATTAAGAACCTGAGTTCTGGAGCCAGATGGCTGGACATTGAGCAAGATAATTTCTCTTATCCTCACTTTTTTCTGTTAAAAAAAAAAAGAAGGTAATATCAATTCCTATATAAGGATTATTGTATTAAGTGGGAAGGTACATATATGTAAGATGAGGCACATAGTAAGCTCTTAATAATATTTGTGGTTAATATAAACAAAAATTCTGTGCCCTTCTATGAATAAGTTTTTGTTATTCTGTCCAGTCATGAAGCGTGATAGTAATATCTTAAGACCTTAATTGATGTGTTTAAAGAAGCTAAGATATTAATAGAGAACTTTATGGGTTCTGATTTCCACGCTCATAAAATCTAGTGACTATTGTGTCAGTAACTAAAAATTAAGCATTATACAATTTGTGCATCGCTAGGACCAAGAATACAGAAATGAAAGATGACTGCCCTCAAGGAACTTATTTTATAGTGGGTGAAGCCAAAAAATAATCAGGCATGTAAGGAGAGTAATGAATGCTGGCAGAGGTAAACACAAGCTGTTGTGAAGATACAAAAGAGTTATTAAACTCAGACTAGATGAGAATGGTAAGTCTTTAAGAACAAATAGATCATACCTCTAAGGAACGTGGATAAAGGAATATGCCAAGTGTGAAGTTTGGGGATGGTGTTCTTAAGGCAGAAAACAGCACATATCCAAGATGGAGAAAAGCATGACAGTCTTCAAGAGTTACTCTGTCTAGAGAGGTAAGCAAATAAAAAATCTTGCAGAGATATGTACACCAAATTATGATTTTAGGAAGGAAAAAGACAATCATACATTTCAGATTAGACAGGATGGGATTAGAGGCAGAGAGAAGTGTTAGGAAATTTATAATAATTCAGATAAAATGATAAAAGCTCTAGATTATGATTCCCAACCCATTTTAATGCACCTGTTACAATTTCATTGAAATAGTCACACAATTGAAAACTTGAAACTTAGTGGGTTAAAGATTTAGAGAGTAGAATTGATTCATTTTAGAAGTCATTTGCATATAAGGAAATGAGAGACAAACCCAGGAGTATAACTTCTAGTATTCTTTTCACATCTTGAAAGGTTGAATCTCTACCTGGCAAAAGTGGATTATGCCAGTGTATCTGTTGGGGAATCAGAAATAAGGAACACTAATTCTAAACTGAAGGAAATAAATTTTAAGTGGGAGGCAGAGCCTCAAGAGAGAAGCCAGACATGAATATTTGGCAAGTTGTGAGAAAGCAGGAAGTGTGATAAATGCATGTGTAGTCTTTTAGGGTTCAGGAGGAGTGTAAACCCAAATATTGCCAACACTGTTATCAGTAATTGTGTAATTGGGGAACACAAAACTAGTTGAACAGTGTCTAGCTTGGTGGAGTGGGACCTTTCCTAGAATTCCTCTCTGCCCCTAGCTTCAGATGCCTGTCGGAATAGGACCATGCTTTCCCAGACTTGCTTAATGAAATACTTAGATGCACTCACTCACTCTTGAGGTGTTTGTCTTTGGTTCCTGTATCCTGCACTTTTATGTGTTTTCTCAGCAAAAAGAACTACTGTTGGAAAATAGGGTCTTAACAGAAATAGATATATGGAAAAGATGGATCCTGCCCTACTGATAGAAGTTGCTGTTTTGGATAGGTTGGGTTAGGCTAAGTAGGAGGAGGGACCAGAAGAAATTGAACCCTTTTTAGAAAGCTATGATTTGCTGCCAGCCACATCATGATCCTTCTTATTTCGTGAAAGAAAGGAATGACAACTGATTGACTGATGTTTAGTTCTTGGAGGAACAGCAACCTTGGGATAGCTTTGTGGCTCAAGGAAGCAACTCTCCCCACAGATTATTCAGTCAATGGCCATGGGAACACCAATATAAGTTTTTACAAATTTCTCCAAATTGTTTCAGAGGTTCTCTTGTGGATATCCTATGACTTCAGGACAGCAAGGCCTAAAATGTTAAAAACCTCTGTTTTTGTAAATATTACATGATTTAAGATTTGATTCCCACATAAAAATGCTTTTAAAATTACTTTTCTGAAGTATCTTAGTGATGCTATAATTATAAAAGTTTTAAAATTCTGCCATATAGTGCCTTATTCCTGTGGTAACATTTTCTGTGAACTTTTGAATACACTGCTAATTATTATATAGAATTTAAAGAATTGCTAACCAAAAAAAAAAAAAAAAATCTTTCAAAGAAAGTTTGAGATTTTAATGCTTTCTGATTGGCTTGATCATTTAGTAGCTGTTTGACTACTAAGGTAACAACATCGACTTCACAACGGTGTAAATTTATATTTCAGAAAAATACCAAATAACTAAGCTATTTAAATACACAAGCTGTTATCATTTTAGCATGTAATCAATATAAAAAATTATCAAGTGTTACATTTTTTTTTTCAGACTTTGAAATCTGCTATATGTTCTATACTTAACAGCCCATCTGTATTTGGAATAGCCACATTGTAAGTGCTTAAGAGTTAGGCGACCACTGGCTACTGTACTGAATAGTAGGGGTATGGATGACTTTACTCTGAGAATCTTTTTGACTCCTATCTTTATCTGTACCTGGATATTTCTGAAGACCTTGTAATTACGTTGTTAAGATTATTGGATCTCTTTCAAAGTTGATTTAACTATTAAACGTGCACAATACTTGTCATGTTATTATTAAAATTGAGGTAGTATCTTAAAACTTTAAATATCTTTAAAAGGTTGAGGATGTTGAGAATCCTCTTTATGTGCATTCACAGACAGCACTGGCTTTCATTATGATTATAGTTTTTTGGTGAGGGCACACAGGCTTTGATTAACTGGTCAGTCTCAGGAGTTGGTATGTTTGTAAGCTCTTACCTACTTGTCAGTATGAACCATGAGCAGTTCTGATGAGTAAGTTCTAGTCAGATTTTTCCCCTGGGGTTGAGTTCTTTGGGGGCATTTTCATGAATGTCATACCGTCTAGCTATAGTTGACTTTTTGCCATGACCATTAAGCTTGTCCACAAGACCCTCTGTCACAAAATGGGAGTACTCTGCAAAATGCAGAATGAGAGGCAGCAGTAAGTCAGGTCTGCCATATCTTGAGTTAGTTGCAGTTTGGCTTGTCTAGGGATTCTGTGCTGAAATGCCATGGTGAATGGAGTCAGGTAAGGGGTGGAGTTAGTATTTAAGGTTGGTCTACACACTGGGAAAGAGGACAATATGCACTTCTGCTTTAGGATTCCCAAGCAGGGATTCCTGAGCCAGTGATTCTTGATCAAATTTTTTACTTCGGGTGAAAACACTGCTCTGGTATTTTTAAGAATTCTTCCCAATTCTGGTTCATAGAATAAAACTGCCTGGTAGCTAGGCTGTGATCCTTGATTTTCACAACAAAGTTTTGTGGATTCCTTCAAGTCCTTTGTACCTCCAGAACTTGGCTCTTGACTAATCCATACCCTTTGACTTTCAGGCTTCTATCTCTTCCTTTGGATTTTAAAAAACTCAACTTTTGACACTCAAAACTGAACAAAAATGTTTATAATATCCTCATTCTCTCTCACTTCTGAAGAAGCACTTTTCATCAAGTCTTACAGCAAATTCCCATAAGCAACTGGGAACACAAGAAATTAAGTACCAGGAATGAAAAATATAGCAGTTAGTAATTAAAAAATTGCATTTTTTAAACTCATCAGTGATTAGAAAGCACTGAGGCTGAAGTATATAAGTAACTGCAGTCTCTCTTTTTCATTCATAGCTTTATGTTGGTTATCTTCAAAAGTCTTTGCACACTGAAGAACAGTGTGTGGCTGTTATTTAAACTAGAATGCAGGGTTAATAAAAGTGTTGGTTCATTTATTCAGCACATAACCTATTAAATATTTGATAATTGTAAGATTGCATATAAATTGATGGGGGAAATGATAGCTATGAAGTTTATGGTTTAGTATTAGTAGCAAAAAGGTTGGTAATCAGTTATAATAGAGCAAACACGTAATGTGGGTGTTTGAAATCCATAGTTTTTGAATAAGCATTTGTGTCAGATGTCACAAGGAGTAAGGTCATTACAGTCATGGGAAAAACCCTTTGTTGGTGACGTAATGGTTTCATGCCTTGTGCCAGGTCACAGCAAAGGTGAGAACAGATGGAAGTGTCCTACAAGCTCCAGGATTGCAGAAGAGCCAGCCAGCCAGATTTGTTAGTCTCTTTCAATTTTCAGAAGGCTGTTTCCTCAGTCGGCACAGTGTTATATTTCTAACTTTCACTGCTTTTTGAAAGCAGCTTTATTTCAAGTTGCAAATTCTACACAACAAAAGCACCCATTATAAATTTGCTACCTGATGATTCCGGACAGATGTACATACCTGTATAACCATAACCACAACCAAAGTAGAGAACATTCACATCACTCTCAAAATTTACCTCAAGTCCCTTTATAGTGGGTTGCTACCCATTTACCCTCAAGCCCAGGCAGCCACTAATCTGTTTTATGTTCTGTTTATATCTGAAATTTGGTATTATTCTATTTATCTAAGTCTTATTTTGCTCAGCGTAATATTTGTGGGAAGTATCAACGTTGTTTGCTCAGTAGTGTTCCATTGTATGAATAAATATACCACACTTTGTTATCTTTCTATTGGTGGGGGACTGGGCT